CGGGGGCCACCCACTGGCGCGCACCCTGGCTTCCCTGTCCTGGTGCCAGCCCCCGCGGGCTTCCCCACGTCACCCAGGAGGGCTGTTCTTGTGTGTGCTCTGGGATGGGGACAGTGGGGGGCCGGTGGCCGGGCGCCACCCGGCGGGGCGGCCCAGGTTGGCGGCTGGCGCGGGGCCAGCCCGCGAGCTTCTGTTGAGAGTCTAGCCCATTAGGCAAAGCGCTGGTGACAGGCTGGGAGGGCGGTGGCGGCGGCGGCGGGCAGGGCGGGGCCTGTGGGCCTTGGTATTTTCCGATCCCAGCTGCTCTGGGAGGTGGAAAGTATTTGGGGATCAGGCTTGGGGGCGCGGTGGAGGCGCCCCGGCAGAAGCCACTCCTGATGCACCCTTGGAGCTCCGGCTGGGGGCAGTGGGTGCCGCGTGTCTGGGGCGACCCACGCGGCCTGGGGCAGCATCTGGCCATGTGTGCAGACAGACCTGGGCCGGCGGCGGGCGTCCTGGGAAGCCTGGGAACCGCGGTGCCGCCCAGCCCAGGGGCCACCCTCTTCCCCACGCTCCCGCTGCCAGGGCCTGGCCCGCTCTGGGCACCATCGCCCTGAACCCCAGGGGTACATGGTTACTGTGAAGGGGCCCCGGCGGCGGCGGGCACCTGCGTGGCAGTGCCCCCTCCACGCAAGACCCAGACTTCTTGTGCCTGTGGATGGGAGTGGCCTTGGCCCGGGCCCTGGGCTCTGTGCAGGGGAAACCCCACAGGAAACGAGCCTGGCCAAATGGCCGCCCTTCCCGTTCTCGTCCCTGGGACACGAATATGCTGTCTCACTTCCGGAGGCGGCCCTGGGAGGCTGGCTGCTGTGCTGGACCAAGTCGGCTCCCAGTTGGTGCCCCCAGACCCTCAGGGTACAGGGCTGGGCTGGGGCCAGTGGGGGGGGGGGTGTTGGCGTGAGTGGGGGTCAAGTGAGACACTGTCACTGCCTGCTTCCTGGTGGTAGGTGACCCCAGATCTGGACATTGGGGTCTTTACGGCGTGGGGCTTCCTTGTTTCCCTTGTCCTGCCCGATGAGGACGGCATCACCCTGTCCTGATTTTGTGTGTGACGTATGGTACACCATTTATGAAGCGGGTAGTTGACGCTGTTTGTAGATGGGGAAACTGAGGCCCAGAGAGGTTGAGTGGTTGGCCCAGGGTCACCCAGTTGGGAAGCTGCAGAGCAGGGGTCAGGGTGGGGTTCAGGTGGTAGGCAGACTCTAGAATTGGTGTCTTCTAGCCACTGGGCACTTATCATAAGAGGATCTGTCACAACTGTGTGACCTGTATAGTCTCAAGGCTCCCTTCTTGAAGGACCTGAACTGGATCTCATCTGTTACAGCTGCCTTGAAAACCTTCTTTTGGGCAGTGCTGGTGACGGAACCCGGGGCTTCGTGTAGCTAAGCTCCTGCTCGTCTATTAAGCGGCACCCTAAGCCCCATGAAGTTCTTAATTTGCAAACAAGAAACCAGATTTTCATTCTGCACTGGTCCCCACAAATTCAGTGGCCTGCCCTGGTGTGGGGCGCTCGCCAAGCGACGTATCCCTCGGTGAACTCTCGCGGGGTTATGTGCGAGAAGCTCTTGGCTCCATTTTGCAGATGGGGAAACTGAGGCGTGGGGCATTTGGAAAGATGCAGAACAGGAGATTTGAACATCACTAGGGCTTTTTGGGTGGCAAAGCCAGTGGTGTCAGCCTGGGTCCTGTGTCCTGGGGGGTCGTATGAGTGCTCCGGGGGAGCTGGGCCCTCTGTGCCCATATCCGCCCTGAAGGGATTCGGGCTGAGGCCCGGCCACAGCCACAGAGGAGACAGGACCACTGGGGGGAGGCCTGGTGGTTTCCTCCTGGCCCTCCGGCTTCTAGGAAGTGGCGCCAGCTGGGGTGAGATCACTTCCTCACCCGCCTGCCTGCCCCCCCTCGGCTTCCTCTCGCCACGGCCCCATTTGGCCTGCCCAAGGCACAGGGGTGGGGGTGTGGGGAGGAGTGGGGGGAAGGCTGGGAACTGGCTCTGGGAGTTCCTGCAGCCTCCTTGGCCCAAGGCGACTCTCTGGGCATCTCTGCCTCTAGGGCTGGGACCAGGAGTGGGGGTCCAGTCACGGCCTGCGACTGCCTGTGGGGAGCAGCTTCCCTGCGGGCCCCAGAAGGAGGCCAGTGAGGACCTGGAGGGGTGGTGTCCCCAATTCTCATTACCTCCTTTGCTCTTTCTCGCCTCCAGGTGCCAGCCTCTGGGCCCACCCAGTGCCCCTAACCCTGTGCCACGGCCGGCTGGGGTTCCTGGGGATGGGATTTGCTGCCAATCACAAATCACATTGCCAGGGATTTCCAACCGACCCTGAGCTCTGCCTCCGGGGCCACCGTTGCTGCTGAGGATGTCACCGGGGACAGGGTGTCAGATGCCCTGCCACCACCTATGCTGGCCTGAGGAGCAGGGCTTAGCTGCTTGTGAGCAGGATCCACACCAAGTCGTGTTCACAGTGGCTAAGTTCCGCCCCCCGGGCTCCCACCTCCTCGGGGCCTGCCGCTGCCCGCTGCCCGGCTCCCTGGGCTCCGCCCCCCGTGCCTACTGAGCTGAAACACAGTTGGTTCGTGCACACTGGCTCAGTTCAGCAGGAACAGGGGTCAAGCCCCCTCGGAGTCCGCAGCCCCTGTGCCGCTGGGTCGGCCGCCCAAAGCTGAGGCCAGCCCCAGACCCAGGTGTGTCTGGAGAAGGGACGAGGAAAGCGGGGGTGGCCGGCCGAGCTGGCTGTCCTGTCTGCTGCAGGTCTCTTCTCCCTAGTCTGCCCTTTGGGGACCCTCCCTTGGCCACTGTGGGTTGGGCTGTGGTCCCGGGTGGACATGGAGATAGGTGGGTGGCCCTTCCAGAAAAAGGGAAGCCAGCTGTGTCCCCTCGGGTCTGGCACCCCAGCCCCTCCTCTCCTCAGCCTGCCCCTGTCCCATCAACGAGGCAGTTACCCAAGAGGAAGCTGCTCGGCCCCTGACCGTTAAGTGCCAACTCCCAGCTTCCGGAACCCAGCTGGCCTGGCCTGGCCGAGTGAGCCTGCCCTGCTCCCGGGGCCTGCAGACTCCTAATTGTGGGGATGAACAGTGACACCTGTGCCTGCCGGGAACGAGGGACAGGGAACAAGGCCCAGGTGGGCCCAGAAAGGACACAAGCAGGCTGACCTCCTCCTCGGTGGCCTTGAAGGTGGAACTTAAAGCCTATCCTGAAATCGGCTGGGATGAGGGCCCCTTGGGCTGGGACCCAGAGGCTGAGGGGAGCCCCCAGGCCATCAGCGCTGGACCAGGTCCTCTTTCCCAGCCCAGGGGCAGGCCGAAGCCTGGGGTAGGAGGGAGAGTTTGTGTTGTGCATTGTGCAATTAATTAAATAAAGTCACTAGCCTTGTCCTGAAGGTCTGCCGTCTGGTCCTTGGAGATACCAGGTTTTGATCCCCCTGAATCCTGGCACCCGGGCTCCTGACCCCACCTGCTCTGAGGAAGGTGGGAGAAGGTTGGAATTTATTCATGTGGATGGAGGGTGTCCTGAGCTTGAACAGGGTGACTGACTTTTGGGGTGACAGGGAAACCCCCATAGGGAGCATTAACTGAGGTTACCTGAAGGATGCCCAGGGCCCGGGGGATGGAACTGGCCCCGAGGCTGTGGTGGTGGGGTGACCCTGGGCCTTAGGGGTGATGCGGACACAACTGGGATGTCAGAGTCTAGAGCTAGTGACATTTGGGGGGCAGCTGAGAATTGAGGCTTGGCGGGACAGATACTTGGGGTACTGGCACCAGAGCATGCAGAGAGGGAGTTTTGACTTGAGATGGTGGGCGACGTGAGAAGGACCCCAGGCCCATGGGGAACATTTGCGTGAGCCGAACCCGAGTGGCGCCCCAGGTACATGAGGAACTTCTCTTGGTGACAGCAGCTTAGGTACAGGAAGGCGCGCTCCAGGTTCAAGACTATTTTATCACCTCCACCATACCAGGCCACCAGGCGGCGCTGAGGAGCACGTGGGCGGCCCCGGGTCCGCCTGCACATACCTGCGGGAACACGCACGGCGGGGTAGGAGGCGGGGCCGCCCCCGATTGGTTCCTTCGAGCGGAGGGCGGTGCCACGAGCAAATCGCCCACCGGAGTCACGCCCTTGTCTGTGTGTGTGACCGCGGTGCCCTCTAGTGGCCGCTCGCACCTCCGGGAAAACTTTGTCCTCGCTTGCCCTGGCCCTGACAATGACCCAGACAGGCCCTTTGGCTGCCAGTCTCTAAAGACAGGAAGGCCTTGAAGAAGCCGCTCCTTGGGAAACCAGGGAAGGAGGACAACCAATGATTTCCTCTCCCAATGGTTTTCCCTCGTCCCCAGACCCCTTAGCTCTACTTGGAGCCGCATTTGAAGTGATACAGGCCCAGCATGCCCTGGCGACACTCCTAAAAACCACACCCACTTCTTTACCTGTCCAGAACTCTGCCCATTGAGGCCTAGTCTTAGTTCAAGTTTCCCGCCTTTGGGCAGGGTGCCCTTTCCCATCAAGGTGCACCCAAATACCTGCCATGGCCTCCTCCCATGCACGGTACCCCACAACCGCAGGGGCCTGGAGCCAAGGCGCACCCTAGTGGCCATTCTCGGCGGTGCAAGGGTCGTACAATTTGGGGCAGACACAGGTACTAAATCAAGATCAGTTGCCTGCTAGCTGGCTGCCTTTTCCTTAAAGGTTGGAGCCTCAGTTTTCTTGCCTGTAGAGTGGGTATGGGGAACCCCACCGATCTGTAAGGCCGTGGAGCCATGCAGAAGACAGCTGAGAAGCACCCAGTGGTAAACACACTCCATCTCTTTGCCGTTGCTCACTCCACTACCTCTGGAGGACTCCAGCAGCGGCTCCCATTCCAACCCTCGCTTCAAACTACGCTCAGAAACGAAGCTAGAATTTTTTTTTTTTTTGTCAAGGGAAGGGGGTGGCCCTGGCCCAGGATGCAGGAGAGGCACCCCCCCAGTCTCAAAATAAATTAAAAAGAAACTGTGTTCCATCTTTAGAGAAAAACAAAACAAAAAAGAAAGGGAGTACAATATACGGTTCAATAAATAGAAAAAGTTACAAAATGACGATCTTTTTCCTTACTATACAAGAAGGGAAAAAAGAGGGTGTGTGTGGGGGACGGTGGTCCTCCCTGCTCCTCCCTGGGCTGAGGCAGGGGAGGGGAGGGGAGGCCGGAGAAACAGTAGCTGGGACTTAACAGAGATGAAGACAGAACAGGCTGAATGGTGAGGTGGAGACGGGGGACAGGGAGGGACAAGCAGCTGAAGACACCAAGCTGCCTGCCTTTCTCCCCCAACACCAGGTTGAGAGGGCACAAGGGCCTCGCCTGGTTCCTGAGTCATGTGTCCAGTGACTAGTGGGTGGAGGGAGGGGCAGCGATGGCCCCCACCCAGCCCACCCTGGGACCCTGGTGCCCAAGGGAATGGGGTCCTGGCCAGACAGGAGGACAAGGGGGTGAGGTATGTGGCTGAGGCCTGAGACCTCTTGAAATCCTTCAGTGGAAGTGGGGCGTTGGTCCTGGCAGGGTAGGGAGGGGGCACAGGACAGGGGAGGGGGGCCCCTGAGCAGTGGGGGAGGGGAAGGAAGGTGCACAGGAGGGGATTCAGGTGTCCTCATAAAGTCCCCTGGCCAGCCTGGTGGGCCCGAGTGCCAGTTGGGAAGGCCTGCCTTCCGGCCCCTCTCCTGGAGCCCACGCCAGGGCTTTGAGTTTTGAGGAGGGAGCTTGCCTATTGCTTGTGGGGGGCCCCAGTGGGGTCATGCCAGCTGCCATGCCAGCTGCCCGAGCACACACCCCTTCCAGGCTTCTGGGTGGCAGTATGGCTTGTGCTCCTCGGGTCTTTACACACGTTCACACACTCCTAGGCACGCACGCAGGCAGGATGCCACCTCCTGCCCGCGTCCAGCAGGGCTCCTTCCCTGGCTAATACTGAACCCCTCCTGGGCCTCCAGTGCCCAGGCCCGCCAGAGTCAGGGAGGCAGGGCCCAGGGGTCCCCAGGAGTCCCATGCCAAGCACCGTCCCTCAGCCAAACCGCTCACGCACCAACAGCATGAGCTTCTTCTTGCCCTTGTAGGTCTGTTTGAGGTTCTCCAAGAATTGGGCGAACTGAAGGTGCCCATCGGGCGCCAGCAGAAAGGTCTCCCGGGCCTTGCCCAGGAACTCGATGAAGTCGCCGTAATGCCGCGGGCTGATGTGCGTGAGGCGCGAGTGGCTGGTGGTGATGTAGGCGGCCACGGCCGCGTCCAGGAGCTGGCACAGTGGCGCCCGGTCGGCGCCCAGGGGCTTGGCAGCCCGGCGGGCCCCGAGGGGACCCAGACCAGGCGCCGAGAGGGTCCAGCGGCGCAGGATGTCGGAGAGCATCGGGGCGCAGTGAATGCTGCGGATGATGAGGGGGACGATGGCGGAGAGCTCGTGGCGGCCGAGCGAGTGGCTGAGCGAGCAGGCCCACAGCACGTCGTTGACGGCGGGGTGGCTGTCCTGGTTGAAGGCGATGCTGAGCTGCGCCAGGGCCAGCGTCGCCAGCTTGTAGGCGCGCAGCGGCAGGCCGCGGTGCTCCATGTAGCGGGCCACCGTGAAGAGGTGCGCGTGGCCCAGACCGCCGGCCGCTGCGTCCAGCACGATCTGGTAGGCCGCCTCGAAGGCCGCGTGGTTCTTCTCGCACAGGGTGAGGGCGGGCAGCGCGCAGTTCTGCGGGTCCTTCATGGCGCACTGCAGGGCCAGGGTGCGCGCGCAGGCCCAGAGCTCCTCCCGCCGGGCCGTGTCCAGCTGCAGCCGCATGAGCGTGGCGTGCGTGGTGCCGGTCACCGCCACGATGGTGGCCGCCTCCACGGGGGTAAATAAGGAGTACCAGTTTTGCATGATGTTCATCAGCGCCTGGGGACCTGGAGGGAGGTCAGGAGGAAAGAGCTCAGGGTGAAGGGGTGCCCAGGGCGCAGCCATCACCCCAACCTGCAGCAGCCACAGCCGCAGAGGGACCGGCGCTACTTCTTTACCACACGGGACAGAAACTGTTTACCTTTCCCAGGGAGCAGGCGCAGCTGGACTGAGGGCGAGCGGCACGTGCGGGGGCCTGGGATAGGGACCGCCCTTGGTCCCCCTCCGTCCCCAGAGCCCGACGTTCCCTCCCAGCCTGGCCCAGGCTGGAATTTGGTAAAAACCCGCCTTTCTCTCATGTCCCCCAGTTCAGTGACACTTCCGGAACCAGAACAGGGAGGTGAGGGTGCGTCCCCTGGGGCTCTCACCAATCTCTGTGGCGCAGCTGACCAGCCAGCGAACCATCTCCCTCCGCCGCCAGGTCATGGTGTTCAGAGTCATGCGCATCACCTGCAGGGGGAAAGGGGACACAGGCGGCTCCTCAGCATCTCGGGATGGACTGTGGAGGAGGCGCCCCGGGCCCAAGGAGGCCTGGAGGTTAAGAGCTGATCCAAAACACCAGGGCCAATAGCCACACTCCTTGGTCTCAGTCTCCTCACCGATAAAATGGGGACAGAAACTGAATCTTGGGACTGCGGGTGTAGTTCACTGGTCGAAAGCTTGGCTAGCACGAGAGAAGCTCGGGATTTCATCCCCAGCACCGAGAGAGAGAGACTGAGAGAGACAGACAGACACACAGACACAGACACGGGGCAGGAGGAGGGGGCCGCAGGCATCAACCTCAGCCGTGGTGGGCACCGCTTCCTGCAGTGTCTAGTGGGTCCAGGCGCTCCTTAACATTACTATTATGGACCCCACCCCAGATCCTACATCAGGGATCCTACAAGGGAGTGAACCAAACTGTCCCCTCTGGAAAATTCCATGCTTCAAGCCGGCAGATTTCCCCCTATTACCTCAAAGCACCAGACAGCCCACAGATCCCACCCCAGTGAGCACCTCACGCGCTTCCCTCTTCTCGGGCCCCACCCCAGTTCCTGAACCCCAGCCCTGCCTTCGGGAAGCTCCTTCCCCGTGGGTCTCTGCGACCTGCCAGCCTGGTCTTGCCCGGCCCACACAGTGGTTCCTCCCTGTCCACAGCCAGTCCCACCTCCTGGAGGTGCCCCGCTCGCCTGTTCTCCCTGGGAAGGCCCTACCCCATCCTGCAAGTCACGCGGAGCTGTCCCCAGGGCTTTTACTGAATTTCAGCCACCCGAGGCCCCACCCCCAGGCCCCGCCCCCTCCAGGTTCCTGGGGCCACACCCTCTTAAGTGACTCCTCATCTACAGGCTGCCATCCCACTTGCAGGACCACTCCTTGCCCCACCTTTGGGGACTACGCACTCAGCTACAGGCCCTGCCTTTAGAATGCCACCCGGAGGGGCTGCCCCTCACCTTCAGGTCCCTCCTCCGTGGCCCAACCCTCAATACTGCAGCCCTCCTAGTAGCCCCGCCTTCTCCTCCAGGCCCCACCCCCAAGAAAGCTCCCTATTGGCAGGCTCTGTCCCCCCTCCTGCTTCAGCCCCACCTACCAATGGTCCTCAGCCAGCTGCACACCCGCCCACCTCCGGCTGGGAATGGGACCCGGGCCACCCGTTCCAGGCAGGTTCTGCGCCCCAGCCACACCCTAGGTGATCTGCTCCCTCTCGAGGCCCATGTACAGCTGGCCGGCCCGGGCTCTCCCCTGAGGTGACCCCCAACCTTGAGTCCTTTAGAAGGTGGAGCGTCCTCCAGTTTCACCCGAGGACGCCCTCGGTTACCCCAGACCTTCACTTCACGGGTGCGTCTGCGGCTCGGCCCACAGGGGCAGGTTCACGCTCAGACTTCGCGCCCAAAGGCGTAGCTCCTATTCAGGCCTCGTCCCTCGTCCCCGCTCCTGGCGGTGTCCCCGTCCCCATCCGCTGAGTGACCTCACCTGCAGGCCCAGTTCCAGCGCGATGCCGAGCAGCGTGGAGTCCGGTGGCGCTCCGGCCGGGGTGGCCGTCTTACAGGCGTCCTGCGCCAGCTTGAAGAGCAGAGCGGGCGAGTGAATGTTCTGCTGGATGGAGCCCAGGACAACGTGCAGCCACTTGGGGTCTCCTGGGCAGAGGGAGCCACGGGGGCACTGTTAGACCCACCCACCAGCGGCCCGCAGCTGAGCGACCTGTTCCAGGGTCCTCTGCCTGGGGACTAGCGGCACAAGGAGGAGGACCAGGCAAGGCACCTGTGAAGACTCCCAGCCCTGGCGGCCCCACCCCACCTGCCAGGTACGCAGTGTCCTTTCGGTCCTTCTCTCCTAGCAGGAGGAAGCCATGTCCGGCAGGGCATCGATTCTGGACCCAGAATGTCAGGAATCAAACGTCTGTCCTGTCACTCCTGTTGCTCCTGGGCTGTGTGACCCTGAGCACTGGCTGTCCCTCTGCGTGGAATGCTCTTCCCAGATGCCATGGACTGGACTGAGTCCCCGTCGCCCCCTGGCCTCCCAACTCATATGCTGAACACCCCACCGCGATGGTTTTGGAGGTGGGGACTGTGGAGGGTTAAGCCAGGTCGTGAGGTGGGGCCCTCAGAGGGGATCAGGGCCCTTATAAGAAGAGACACTGAAGAACTCTCCCTCCCTCTCTCCCAGCCTCCGCCTCGTGGAGAGTGAAGAAGGTGGCCATGTGCACGCCAAGAAGGGAGCTGTCACCCAGAAGCTCCTGCAGGCACCTTGACCTGGAAACACAGTATCCAGAACTCTGAAACATGGAGCCCAGGGCTTTATCACTGAGCTACATCCTCAGCCTGTTTTTAAAATATTTTGAGACAGGGTCTTGCTCCGTTGCCCAGGCTGGCCTCAAACTTGGGTCCTCTGACCTCAGCCTCCTGTGTCACTGGGGTTACAGGCGTGTGCCACGGCACTGACAGCCGATGGTGTTTGGTTGTGGCCGTCCGAGCTGGAAAGCTCTGCCCTCACCTGCAGGTCTTTGCTTAAACGTCCACCTGCTGGGGACGAGCCCGTGACAGGCCTGTGTGAGGCTCTGGGTTCCAAACCCAGCGCTGCCAAAGAACAAGTCAAACACAGCCCTGCTTGGCCGCCCACACCGAGACCCTTCTCTTACTCCCTTCGTGGCAGATCTTTTCCTTACTGTCCGCCTGCCCCGCGGGTCAGGGGCTGGGGACAGTTTGCCTGGTCCACAGAGAAGGCGCTCAAGGAATATCGGCGCAATTTGGCAAAAGGATCAAAGGAGGGAGGAGAGGCCAGGGTGAAGGTGGAGAGGACGGTGGACAGAGGTGGTCACGGTCCTCACCCTTGGCTGCGGTCAGCATGGCGGAGGCCAGTTCACACTGGCGGGTCTCCAGGTGGCCCAGGATGAACCAGCGGGGGAAGCGGTTGCTCGGGATGGAGTCCAGTGGGGTGGGATGGGGTTCTCCAGCGGGAAGCGCCGTCTCCAGCACGGGCAGCCTGGGGGAAGCAAGCCTGGTGAGGGGCGGGTGGCCCTGCCGACTCTGTGACCCAGGAAGACGGAGGACACGTGCGGGGTGCCCACTGTGGCACTGTTGGCCTACACAATGGAATATTATTCAGTCATAAAAAGGATTAAAGGGGCTGGGGTTGTGGCTCAGCAGTAGAGCACTCGCCTAGCATGGCGCTGGGTTCGAACCTCAAAAATAAATAAGTGAAATAAAGGCATTGTGTCCAACTACAAGTAAGAAAAAAAATAAAATAAAGAAAAATTTAAAGTCCGGGGCTGGGGTTGTGGCTCAGCAGCAGAGTGCTCACCTAGCACTTGCGAGGCCCTGGGCTCGATCCTCGGCACCACATAAAAATAAACAAAATAAAGGTATTGTGTCCAACTACAACTAAAAAATAAAATATAAAAAAAAATTAAAATCCTGCCACTTGCAGCCACCTGGATGGAACTGGGGGATGTTTTAAGTGAAACAAGCCTGTAGGACAGTTCTGCCTGTTGTCACTCATGTGAAATCCAAAAATGTTCATCTCATAGAAGAAGACAGAAGAGTAGTGGTCACCAGAAGACTGGGAGGGCGGGAGGACAGGAATGGAGGGAGGTGGACGATGGGTACCAGACGCGGCTAGATGGGAGGAATGGGTTCCGGTGTCCTATGTTACGGCACAGGAGGGTGATGATAGGCTACAGCAACTTATGATATATTTCAAAATATCTAAAGAGTCCAAGGTTCCCTACACATAGAATGGGAAAGGTTTGACATGGAAATGCGATTACTCTGATTTGGCCATTGCACGTTGTATGCATGTATCAGATTATCCCCCTACTCTAGAAACACAAATAAAACCGATGATAAAAAATAATAAATTGAGCCAGGCACCACGGCACATGCCTCTAACCCAGCAACTCTGGAGGTTGAGGCAGAAAGATCTCAAGTTTGAGGCCAGACTCACAACTAAGTGAGACTCTGTCTCAGATTAAAAAATGAAAATAAAAGGGCCGTGGTAGAGCGCCCCCCTGGGTTCAGTCCCTGGCCCTGCAAATAATAATCAATCGCCATCACCATCATCATAATTCATTTAAATAAAAAAAAAACAAGAGAGGGGATAGGAAACTGCCTAGATGTCTATCACTTGAAAGTTAGTTAAATAAAATAATGCTCCATTCATCCCCCAGGCCACATGCTGATATAGAGGGGAGGAGACAGCCAGGCGCGGTGGCGCACACCTGTAATCGGCTAAGGAGGCTGAGGCAGGAGGATCTCAAGTTGAAAGCCAGCCTCAGCTATGGCAAGGCTCTAAGCAACTCAGTGTTGTCTCTAAATAAAATACAAAATAGGGCTGGGGAGGTGGCTCAGGGGCCGAGTGCCCCCGAGTTCAATCCCCAGTACCAAAAAACAGGGGGAGGAAAGTGCTTTCCTGACACGGCTCTCTGTCACTCCCCATGGCCTCTTTCCCTTCACTGCCTCCACTCTAGTTGCCCTCAAACTCACCAGGTATAGTCCCACCTCAGGGCCTTTGCACTGGCTGTTTTCTCTGCCTGGTGGCCCCTCCCTCGCCTCCTCCAGACCTTTGCTCAAATATCGCTCAGTGAGCACTTCCCCACCAAGGAACTGTGACGCACTCTGCCCGCCTTGTTTTCCGTCCTCACTGCATTGAGCAGCAGAAAAGAGTGTTCACCTAGTCATTTATTTACGGCCACTCACTAGAATGTCCCCTCCCCAGGGCAGGGATGTGCCTCTTTGTTTACTGTTCTATTCACCAGAGCAATGCCGGCCACAGAAGGGGAACCTGCTTGCTGAATGATTCCAGGTGGCCACAAAGTGCCCTGTTAAGAGGCTCACTGTGCGGTCACCCTGACTCCGTGGGAGACTGATTCTGGGACTCCCCGTGGACTCCAGCCTGTGGCTGCTCAGATTTACGTGGTGCAGCCTTTGAAGACTCTAGGCCCATCCTCCTGTGTCTTCATATCTAGATTTAGGACACCTGCGGCAACGTGAATGCCACATACATGGCTGTCACACTGCACTGCTTAGGGAACAACAGAAGACAAAAAGTCTGTACGCGGTCAGCTTTCTTTCAAATATTTTTGATCTGCGTTTGATCAAACCCACGGATGTGGAGAGGACTCTAAAGTCTTGTGTTTTGTTTTGCTTCTGGCACTCGGGACAGAGCCCAAGGGCATTTTACCATTAAGCAGAAGTACATCCCCAGCCTTTTTTTTTTTTTTTTAATTTGAGACAAAGCCTTACTAAGTTTCTGAGGCTGGCCTCTAACTTATGATCCTCTTGCTTCAGCCTCCCGAATTGCTGGGATTACAGGCGTGTAAGCCCAGCTTGTGCGTGTAGTTTTCTGTTATGAAAGTTATTCAGAGTTGCTAGATGTAATTAACAGCAGTGAAAACTATTCCGGTTCCAAATATTACATAAATGACCTTGCTGTGTGACCTTGGGTAGTGGAAGACACCTTAAATCTTTTCGGTATGTAAATGAGGGTAAATACGCTCACTTAGCTAGGTTGCTGTATGGACTTAGGCCAAGGATCAGCCAAAGGCTGCACAGCCCGTATTTTTGGCTTTGCAAGCTGTTTGGTCTCTGTTGCAAAGACATGCTCTGCTCTGCCTCCTGCAAAAGTAGTCACCTACCAAACGGCGGGGTAGATGAGTGCGTGTGGCTGGGTGCCAAAAAAACTTCATTTTGGGGCACGGAAATTTGAATTTCATATATTTTTCAACCATTTAAAAATAAAAACTACTTTTTTTTTTTTTTGGTAGTGCTGAGGATGGAACCCAGGGCCTGGCACATGCTAGGAAAGCAGAGTTGTGCCCCCAACCACCCAAAATGGAAACATCGTGGGCTGCACAAAAATAGGTGGCAGATCAAATTAAGTTCATGGACTACAGCTCCCTGACGCAGCCTTGAAAAGTCCCGCATATAACAGCGCATTTTTCCGTGTTGGGGACGAACAGTTCGGGTGGAGCACTTGCCTAGCACACAGGGGGTCCTGGGTTCCATCACCAGGACTGCAATCAATCAACCAAATAAAGTAAAAGAAAACTTAAAAAGGCTGTTCTTGAACTCATGATGCTTACATATTATTCTTTCCAAATGTCCTGGAAAGACACCCCCCTCCAAATTGTTCATCATGTGGAGAGAGACTGAGATTCAGGTGGGCCACGACAAACCCGCCTCAAGAAGGACTCCACTCTGTGTACTTTTTGAATCCAGTATCACGTGGACATTCCCGTCCCCCTCCTGCTCCCACACCAAATCCAGGCAGTGTCCCCTGCTACCTGTCCTCACCTCATGGCTCGCAGTGCCAGGCGATAGGCCAGGTCGGGGTCATGGGGCAGCAGCGCAGTGAACAGGTAGCGGGCACAGGTGTGCATTGGCACGCTTTCCCGGAAAAGTACTTCTCCAAAGCCACTGAAGGGACCTCCTATAGGGACAGTCTGAGTTCAGCCCCTCGGTGTGGGCTCTCCTCCACCCCCATCCCACGTCTCCCCAGGCTCCAGGATGGATATGGAAGATAGGCTGGGCCAGAGAGGTCCCAGGGGCAGGCACTTGGCGCCGAGACTGAGCCAACCTCCGGAAATCTAAAGAAAAAAAGGAGTCCCTAGGCACCCTTAGGTGGGTCCAGACTCCCATGCAGGATGGGTCAGAGGCTGGAGAGGAAGGAACACCTGTCCCAGGGGCAGAGCTACCAGCAAGATTTATCAGCACAGAGGCCCTGGAGGGGGCGGGGCCAGCTTGGTGTGGGCGGAGACACAGCGAACAAGCCAATAGGACCAGACCATGGGCGGAGCCAAGGAGGAGGGGGCTCTCCCTTTCAGGACCTGCGAGGTCTGAGCAGACAGGGAGGACGGGGGCGGGGCCTGGGCAGGGGCCGGGGCCTCACCTTCCAGCAGCAGCCCCGCCTGCTTGCGCAGCACCTGCACCAGCCGCTCGTCCAGATCCACCTCCTCCAGCAGCGCCAGCAGCTGCTCCTCGTTGCGCACCACCTTGTCCTGGGCGTACAACCCCTCGGGCAGGGCCCGCTGCTGCCCCAGCCCCAGCAGTGCCACCTCTAGTGCCAGCGCCAGGTAGGACTCCCCAGGGCTCCCGGGCACTGGCACGTGCTGGTAGGCCACCTTCCGCTTCTCGGGTCCTGAGTCTGAGGGAGAGGGGACAGGAGCTACCGACCGTGGACCCCCTTTCTTGGGGTCTCTGGGCCCAAGCACCGCGATAGGGGTGGGTGAAGCAGGGGGCAGCCCAATCTCCCAGCACTCGCCACCGGGCCCCTTCTGGTGGTCGCTAGGTCTACGGGTGGCCTCACTCAGAAGCCGGGCCCATCCGCTTCCAGAGCGCCAGGAGGCGTGGCCAATAGCAGGGCGTGGCTAACAGCAAAAGTGTGTCCCAGGTCCTCCAGGGCTTCCCCCTGTGGGTACCTGGGTAAAGGGAGAGGGTCTCCTCCTCCAGGCGACAGGCCTCCAGGAGCGCCCTGCAGAGGCAGCCAATGGGGTCCAGGGGGTGGCCCACCCAGCCTTCGGGGTTGGTGATGCAGGTGGCCCCTTTCTGGAGCAACTCTGCAGGCAGAAAGAGGGCGCTCGATCCCACCCCTCCGCGAGGGCCTCTTGGGGGTTCCTTTTCCTGACTCCAGAGTCTCACCACTTGCCCACCCAGAGGCTAGCTCTGTTCTGGGGCTCTGCTGTGGCCACCCAGCAAGGTACAGGGACAACACTGGGCGCTTTCCAAAATATCTCCTTCTGCACCTTTCTGATGTTCAAAAGCCCAAATAGGTTTTGGGACCCCAGGGGCCACTTGACGCTTCTCTTCTTCTCTCTAGGGTGCTGTGCCCGCCGGACCTCCTGGCCTGGCTCTCTTCCGCCTGGCTCCCGCCCGTGGGTTGCTCCTCGCAGCACCTCCTCCCTCCCCTTCTCTCAGCTTTTCTGGAAGGGTCCTGGGCCATCCCTGAGCCCTCAAACTGGGTCAGGGCTCTTCTCAAGCCCAGAGCACCCTGAAGATCCTTCATTACACTTTGTTCAATTTCCTGGTAACTAAGTGACCCGTTCCCAGCCCACAGAACTCAATGGATGGCTTCTCCTGTCCTCCATATCCAGTCCCCAAAAGTTTTTTCTTTTCCCAGTCCTGGGACTGAGTCCAGGCCCTGCAGCACCCCAGGCAAGAGCTCACCACTGAGCCTCCTCCCCAGCCCCTTGTCAACAGTTCATCTGGAGACAGGGTCTCGCTGAGTGGCTCAGCGCCTTGCTAAGTTGCTGAGGCTAACTTTGAACTGGCGATCCTCCTGCCTCGGCCTCCCCAAGCTGCTGGGATGACAGGCGTGCGCCACCGCCCCAGGGACGTGAGGAGAGTATTCACCCCCACCTTTTTTCTGCTGCTTGTAGCTCTCAAGCTGATGCCGCCGCTGGAGCCGGAGCGTGTTGATTATGGCACCGGCCAGCCGCAGGGCCTGGCGGGGATACCCATGGGCACGCAGGGTGTCCACTCGGGCACAAGCAGTTGGAAAAGGCTCGCCCAGCCAGAGTGGGCGGCCCTGAGGGTCGAAGGCTGACTTATCACCGCCCACGGTGCCTGTGAGGCTGGGGCTGTAGGAGTCGCCGGCCAGGATCCGCTGCAGGTGAGGGTCTTCCCAGTGCAGGTCTCCAGCCTGCAGGGCGCGGCCAAATACCGTGTGGCGGGAACCTGTGACCGCCACCTCCCCCTCGTCCTGTTCCTCGGAGCCTGTGGGAGAGGGACCCAGTGTGGTCCAGTGAGGGGGGCCCTAGCCACGCTCACCTTCCCCCACCAGGTGCCGCCATGGGGTCAGACCCTGGGCAGAGGATGGGCACGGGCTTGCTCCCAGTCCTCAAAGCACCTTCAAAGATGCGTGGGGGTTGCTGGTGGCGGTCACAGCAGAACAGCGGTTCAGTGACCATCTCTCTCCCGGCTTGCCCTTTCTCCTCTCCTCTCCCCCGGCCTCTCTCTCCACCTCCTGTCTGCCTCTTTCCTCCTCTCTCTCCATTCTTTTCTGTTCTCTTCCTTCCTCTCCCTTTCAATATCTCACGTCTCCCTTGTGTTTGCTGGCACCTGTTTTCTTCCCTCTGTACTCTGTCTCCACAGATAACAGGAGGTGGAGCTAGGAGACCAGCTCTGGGTCCTGCAGGCTGCCTCTGCACCTGCCCTCACCACGTCCTCCATCCTGGTTGAGAGGACAAGCAACAGCTGGGGCTCCCTTCTCTCCCCGACTCCCTCTCTCCCCTCAGACAGAATTGCATGATACAAAGTCGGGACATAGCCAGCGGTGATGGGTTTGTGGGGGACAGCAAGCTGGAACCCTCTCCTACCTGGGCTGGGAGCCATGGTGGGCTGCAGGCTGGGGCCATCGAAGGAGTAGTTGCCTTCTTCCAGTGGGCACACGTCCAGCTTGTCCCATGTGCCAAGCAGCTGGAGCCAGCCCGCCCGCTCCTCTGGTTTGCAGTGGGGGCTCAGGATGACACAGACCCAGAGGGCCCCTGAGAAGGCACGGAGGAGGCCACATTCCCACCAGACACTACAGAGCATCCCCTGTGTCCTGGGCAGTTCTGCTCACTCCTGATCTGGACCCTCTGAGGTGGTGCTAATAGTCTCTTCACTTAATGGATAAGAGAAATCAGGCCCAAGGAGGAAGCACACTCATCCAAGGTCATTTAAATTAGAAATCAGGATTCAAATCCAGGTCGCCAGACTCCCCTCAATGTTTCTGTTTTCCTTTTTATCTCTCGCATGTTTTCCCCTTTAACACACGTTGACCCCTGGCCTCCTAGGCTGACCATCTGCCCCCCAAATCCAGCGGTCACCTATCTGGATTCAACCAACCTTGGGTTGAAAATATTTTGGGGAAAAAAATTATATTTGTACTGAACACGTACAGACTTTCCCCCCTTCACATTAATCCTTAAACAATGCAACCCTCCTCCCGTGGCCGTTCCTCTGTGTTAGGTGTTATAAGTGATCTCCTGGTGACTTAAGAACACGGAAGGGCTGGGGCACAGCTCAGGTAGGACATGTGCTGAACATGCACAAGGTCCTGGGTTTCACCCCAGCTCCAAATAAATAAGTAATATATGAAGGATGTGAGTAGGTTCTGCACATAGTAGGCCATTTTTAATTTTACTTTTGTGGTGCTGGGATGGGACCCAGGGCTCTGCACAGGTTGGCAACGTTCCCCCTCTGCGCGACACCCCCAGCCCATTTTTCTTTTTTATATGAGGGTCTTACTCACACACAGATTTTTGTGTCCCTAGGGGTCCTGGAACCCATCCCCCTTGGATACTGAGGGACAATAGTATGGTATTTCATTGTCCCTCTCCTGTCCCATGTCAGCCCCTGAGAGCAGGACCCGTCTGTCTGTTCTCTCCCAGCATCCTGTACAGCACCCACATGTTGGAGGTGCTCAATAAATGGAGGAGGATCCAGGGACATGCTCCTATCGGGGGAGCAAGACCTGGGCAGGAAGCCTTACCCAGCTCGTCCCACAGCTGCCGGCACTTGTCTGTCATGCCCGCGCCCTGCTGCCGCCACAGGGCCAGGCGCGGGTCTTGCAGGAACTGCTCCGTCATGAGGATGAGCATGCGCGCCCCGTTGGAGTCCCTCATCCGCAGCATCTCCCGCACCTGCACGGGGACAGGGCAGTGAGCAGGGTGTGGGGTGCCAGGGCTGGGCCTCTGAGCCCCCGTGCCCCGTGCCCATGCGGCACCTTGCTGAACATGGAGCGCAGCTGCTGGCTGGCCCCGTAGTAGCCGCCATTGGACAGCAGCTGCTTCACCTGCTCCTGGATCTGCTCCTCATCCAGGTGCCAGCAGTTGGCGTCCTCGATGCCCGCACCTGCTGTGGGGTCGGGGGCACCTGCAGGAAGGCAGGGGTGGGTGAAGGGAAGCCCAGGCTGGGGTGGGAGAGAGGGTGTCTGTCCCCCTTCCCCATCGAGTCCTCTGAGTCACCCCGTCTATCCCAAAGTTCCATCTCTCCTAGAGTAAGCACCACCCACCCTCCTGTCTGTCCATCCCTCCCACCACCCATCCACCTACCAATCCATCTGTCCATCCATCTACCCATACACCCACCAGTCCCTTTATCCATCCATCTTGCCCCGAATACCATCCACTTACTCACCCACTTAGTCTCCATCTCATCCATTCATCTATCAAACGCTATCTATCCATCTACCCATTCATCCACTCACCTATCACACTCAGGATAGCACCCACTCATTGATTTACCCACCCATCCATCTACCATCTACCTACCCATCCACCTATCCATCCATCCATCCACCCCTCTACCCATCCATTCATCCATTCATCCATCCACCCACCCACCCATCCATCCATCCCACCTGAAACACACATCTGCCAAGCCACATTATGCCTGTCTCTATCCACCTTACCATGGCCCCCATCAGCCCACATATCCTGACCCCTTGAACATGACCACACGGCCACCCAACCCATAATTCCCATGGCCCTTCCACCTACATACCCATCCCATCACTCCACCCGCTGACTGCCCCAGGTTTTCAACCCACGTGCATCTACCACTCGGGATCCCCACCCTCCCACTCACCATCAACCCCCACACCTGCTAACCCCCATCCAATTAGTCCCTGCCCCTGCCACCTCCCTGTGTCCACCAGCAGCTCACAGTCCCTCTCAAAACACCCTCCACCTGTCCGTCCATCCCACACAAACCCACCCTCCACGGCCACCACACGTCCATCCACACTGCAGACCCTCCCCGCACCCACGACGCACCCCAAGCTGGGCCTCCGCTGGTCCTTCCGCTCTCCGCCAACCCCACTGTCCACTGCCAGAGCCTCCCACCCATTTCCTCACCACCAGCGCCTACTCACCCTCCATCGTCCTTCACCACCCATGCACTCACCCCACTTATTCTCCCACACCACAATTCACCCCCTGATCCCAGCTTTCTGCACCCACCAGCCCCGCCCGGAGTCCCCCTCCGATGCCCCGCCCACTGCTCATTCAGCTGCTCTCTTCCCGCCACCCCACCTTGGCAAGCCCTTGGGTCTCTCAGGCCCCTCCCACGACCCCCATCCTCACGCCCTCCACCCACCCACGCAGGCCTGCGCCCCGGATTCTGAGCCGTCTCCACCCTGGGAGGACCTTGCACACTGGTTCTTCCCTTTGGCCCCCACCCTCTGCCCACGTCCTGGTTCCTGACCACTCATCTGCCCCAAGGCCAAGTATAACCAGGACCTGCCACTCACTGGGGACGTGCCCTGGGTCTGCTCAGGCAATGCCGTCTGCCCCGCCACGGCAGGCACCGAGGCGCCTGGTACCGAGCGACCCCCATGGCCGTGGGCTGAGCGGCTGCCCTCGCGCATGCGCCCTCACCGTGCACCAGGTTGATCTCGGAGCCCAGCAGCAGGATCTCGTCGGCCAGGCGCTGGGCGGTGGGAAGCACTTCGGTGTGGTGGGCGCTGATGAGGTACTGCACGAACTTCTGCAGCTGGTCCCGGTTCATCTGGGACAGCGTCTCGGAGATGGGCAGCCGCAGCTCCACCTGGCGCGCGTGCCGGATGCGGTACAGGGACAGGGCCACCACGTGGGCACAGTAGAAGAGGTCTCGGTTGTCACAGCCGCAGCTCACGGACGTGATCTTGCAGCGGTCGAAGCTGATGGAGACGTGGTAGAGGTGCTCCGGCTCCCCGGGGGCCCCGGGCTCCCTGACGTTCCCGCTCAGGTGGAATCCTACAAGCAGAGGCCACAGCCTGGTGTGTCAACCCAGACCCCGGTGGCCCCGTCCCCCTGCACAGCCCAGCTGAGCCCTGCCTGTGCCTCGGTTCCCGACTGTCCAACTGGAATGCTAACGACGCCCCCTGGATTTACAGAGAAATTAAGTGACCAAATATGCGACAAATGTTCAGGACACTGGTGTAAAGCTCAGTCCTGGGCGAACCCTCCTTCTCCTTCCAGTGACAGTGTACCACAGTCCCCAAGTTCAAGATGGTCTGTCAGTCTTTGGGTTACCATGGATACCGCCCGGCCTTTCGGAAGATGCTAAAGGCTGGTGACACTTGAGAGTGAGGGGCTGATGTGGCAGGCTAGGGGCCACATCACCCCCGTACCCCCTGCCCCTCCCTGGCCCCTGGGCAGCCCAGGTGTCTCTCAGGCTCATCCGACTGGTTGGGTAGCCTGGGCCAGCCCGCGTCACACAGAGACATGGCTTCCTCATACCAGAGGAGGCCAGCAGCCTGTGGACATCTGGGCACTGTCCAGGCAAGGGGAGCTCGACAGCTGACTGGTCCCTGCCATGGCCTGCCACCCAGGAGGCTAGAGTGCCAGGCTGGGCTTGTTTCCTGGCACAGCTGTGCTGGTCCCCTTGCAGGCCCCGCTGCCTGAGGTCTGAGGCCTTTCCTCCCCATCCCCCCCAGCTCCAGCTCTGCAGTCCCCTCCTCTCCTTCTAGTTCACAACCTTCCCCCAACCCTCACCTGGGCCCCGCCGCCTGAGGTCTAGGTCAGCTTCCTCCCCCAGCTCTGGACTCGGGCCTCCATCCTCACCTGGGCCCCGCCGCCTGAGGTCCAAGGCTGCCTCTCATATCTGACCCTAAACTTCTACTGGACATTCCTACCTTGGCTCCACTGCCTTAGGTTCCAGACCATCCCTCCACGGTGGCCCTAAACCCTTCTTTTTTAAATTCGGTTTTAATCATTTCTTTAACTGGCACATAACAATCCCACACATGTACAGGGTGTGGGTGATAACTCGGCACCGTCCACACGTGTGATGACCCAGTCTGGAGAATCAGCCTTCCTGCTCCTCTAACACTGACCATTTCTGTGCTTGAAAGCTTCCGATTCCTCCTCCTGGTTCTTTATATAATACACAACACATTTTTGTGACCTGCAGTCACTGCTGTGCTGCAGATGGCTCTTGACCTTGACCCCAGCCTCTCTGCCTGAGCTCTGACCAGCTCTCGCCTGGCTCTGCGTGTCTGGGTCCGCCTGTCACCTGGTCCCAGGTCTGGGATCGCTCCTACCTCTGGCTCTGAACTCTCCATCGTATCGCCGGGTCCCTCTGTCTGCAGTCTAGACACTTCTCTCACCCATGGTTTGGTTGCTCCTCTGATCCCACCTCTTCCCTTGGTCCCCAGTTCAGCCGCCCAAGGTCTGCCTTCCACCTGCAGCTCACAACCTGCGCCCAAGCCCAGCTGGGCCTGAGGCCCGAGGTCTAAGACCATCTCAACCCGCTGTGCTGGTCCCCTTGCAGGCCCCAGTCAGGGGCCTCTGCCAGGATGTGGGGTGACTGTTGTCTCTGCGCTCAGCCTTGCTTGGGCCTCGTGTCCACTCTGGGACCTCCCTGCCCCCACTTCCTGCTGCCCAAGGTCTAGGACCATATCTGAGGTGACAGTCTCTCCGCTGACCTTACCTGGGCCTCCAAGCCCGAGGTCTGGAAGCTTCCACCACAGCCCCCCTGCACCCCCGCCTGCGCTGGACCTCCCTGGAGGGCTGGGGACAGACACTCACCCACTTGCAGCACCCGGTCGACAGCCCCGCTCTGCAGCAGGTGCAGCCCGCGGGTGAAGGGCACCCGGGCGTCCTGCTCGCCCTCCGGGGGCTGGTAGCCCAGCGAGGAGTACATGCATATTTCCCGCTCACTGCGTGGAAACGACCAGAAGACGATGCGCTTCTGAACCGGCTCCGGTACCCGGGAGAAGCGCTCCTCCACCTGCAGGAAGGGCTGGTGGGTCAGAAGCCGAGCTGGAACCCTTGCTGGACAACCCTCTGCTGTTTACAAGAGGCACACGCACACGGCCTGGGCAAGCCATCGGCCTCCCTGAACCTCAGCATCCCCAGTGTAAAGCGGGATGTGAACAGCAGCCATCTCCTGAGATACATATGCTCAAGTGAGCCAGGTTGCCTGTTGTCGCAGCGACTCAGGAAGCTGGAGAGAGAGGACTGCTTGAGCTCAGGGGTTCAGGAACAGCCTGAGCATCAGAGAGACCCCATTTCTCTCTCTCTCTTTTTTTTTTTTTTTTTTTGGTGGTGCTGGGGATTAGAACCCAGGGCCTTGTGCATGTCAGGCAAGCACTCTACCAACTGAACTACATCCCCAGCCTGAGACCCCATATCTTTAAAATAAAGAACAAAAACAAAAAACTGAGCTTCACAGCAAGAAGCAATCCTGGTGACTCAGGAGGCTGAGGCAGGAGGATCTCCAAGTTTGAGGCCAGCCTCAGCAACTCAGTCAGACCCTGTCTCAAAATAAAAAAATAGGCTGGGAGCCAGGCACAGTGGCGCATGCCTGTAATCTCAGCAACTCCGGAGGCTGAGGCAGGAGGATCACAAGTTCAAAGCCAGCCTCAGCAACTTAATGAGGCCCTAAGCAACTTAGCGCTACCTTGTTCTCAAAATAAAAAAATAAAAAGGGCTGGGGAGCATGCCTGAGGCCCTCGGTTTGACCCCCGGGCACCACAAAAAATAAAAAAAATGTGGGAATGTGGCTCAGGGGTAAATCGCCTCTGGGTTTCACCCCAGTACAAACAAAACGAGACAGAGAAACCACAGCCATCCAACACACCCAGCACTGATGCATGTAAAGCACTTAAAATGATGCCTGGTCCATCCTTAGCATTCCAGAACTTTCTACAGATTCCCTCCAGGATTCCAGGTCCCTGGGTTCTGGCATAAGATTTTCCCACTTCCAGGCACTGGGGGGGGGTCAGAAGGAAGTGACATAAAAGTGATAAGAATGAAGATCAAGGGTGACTTTCTCAGTGTGCACTGTGTGGAATGTCCTGGGGACTGACTTCCCTGACCTCACAACCACCTGGCCCACACTGAGCCTCCACCTTGTCTTACAGCCAGGGGAAGCTGAGGCTCAGGCGCACAGCGACTTCGTTTGTTCAGGGTCCCCAAGCTGGCTCCATTCCTCCGTTTCCTCTTTGAGCCCCTCCCCTGGGAAGGGCCCCCAGGAATCGAGGTGTGCCCAGGCCACCCCTGTGGACTCCAGGCAATGAAACCAGCTGGTTGAGCCTGCCCTCCAATCTGGGTTTGCTATTCACAGGCTGGGTGACCTTGGGCAAGTTTCCCAACCTCTCTGTGCCCCAGTTCCTTCAAAGTGAGGATGACAATCCTCAAAGGGTGAAAGAACTCCTCTAGCATCTGGCCTATCCACGGCAGGTACACACACGGGAGCCCTAGATATGGTTTGGGGATTATTCTGTGTATCTCCCACACAATAAAGGGGACTTAGCCCCTGTCCTATGTAGGTTTCTAGGGGAAGTGGGAGAGCCGGTGACTGGCCCAGTGACAGTTGGCAGATGACTAAGGAGGGATTTTCCGGTCCGTGAATCAGCCTACTCCATGCACAATCGGCCGAACCCATCAGTCTTGGACCCATCAGACTTGGGAGCAGAGAATGCCCCCCACAGTCAGAGGACAGAGCCTGTGGGGGCTGCACTTGCTTAGTGAGGCTCAGACACATCTCCAGCTCCTTGGGGCCCACACCCAGGACAAGAAAGAGGACTTCAAGGAGCCCCCCAGAAGCCACAGATGTGGGGTTCCAGGTGTACCTGTACAGGTACCTCCTAGGCTCTGCCTGGGCTCTCCCTCCCAGAAGCACTGGGATAGCTTGGTGGGGGGAGGGGGAGGTGAGATGTGGGGGAAGGGAAGACCCCCTGAGCCACCCCTGCTGCCAGGGGCTGGGCAGCCTCCGGAGGGAGGATCTGGAGAGGAGGAGGACCCCAAAGATGGGTGGGTTCTGTAGACCTGAGGGCTGGGATAGGAGGGCAGAAAGGGGGTGTCCTGAGCTGGGATCTGGAGACCTGGGAAGTCCTCCACCTGGGGATATGGAGGGCAGGAATGGGGAAATGTGGGCTCCCAAAGTGGGAGCTGTTCCTAAGAGTTTGAGAGAGGAGTGAGGTCTTAGTGGGGCGTCCTCACTGGGAGATGAGGGTGCCGTGGGAACACCAGGTACCTAGCGATACGGGAGGACCCAGGGGTCAGGGACAGAGAAGGAAGTGCCCCGCGTGGGAATCTGGGGCGCCGAGGGGTGGGGATGGGGCGAAGGGAAGGAGGGTGGTCCCAGGGTCTGAAGAACAGCCACGGAGGATGCGGGAGCGATTCGGGCAGTGTTAGGGCTCTAGGGGGTGCAATCTCAGGGGGTCTCAGAAGCAGAGGTGGGTCCGGAGTCTCTGGGAGGAGAAGGGGTGAAGAGAAGGGGCGTTGAGGACAGGGCTGGGGGTGCGTCCCTCCCAGCACCCCTCCCCCCTCGGTCACCTGTTCGAAGGCCCAGCTCTCGGCTACTCGCTTGGCGCTGAGGTCCAGTAGCGCCTCGGGTCGGCCCCGGCCGCGCGCTGCCCCGGCCCCGGCATCTCGCTCCTCCGGTCCCGCGGGGGAGCCCCGGCTCCGCTTGGCCGCGGGGGGGTCCATCGGCCGGGCCGGGGCCGGGGCGGGGCCTGCTTGGGGGGGGTCTGTCCGGTGCTCACTTCGCTTCGCCGGATCCCGCGGCCCCTACTCGCTTTCCTGTCCTTCCGCTGCTCTCGGCCGCCCCGGGACCCCCGCTGCACCCACCCCGCCCCGCACCGGGCCAGCCGGGTGATGCGGCCCCTTTAAGACTCTTCACAACAATGAAGCTGCTTTGGCCGCCGCTTTATCCACCGCCGTTGTCCCGCCCCCGGCGCCTGTCCCCATTGGACCCCCCCTCGGCCTCCGCGGTCCTCTCCTATCATTGGCTGCGCTTCCAGACCCGTCTCCAATATTCCACTGCTCATTCGTTGGCTGAGATGCCTGTTTTCTCGCATCCACTCAATCAGAGAGTAAAGCGAGGGGCGCTGTCAATCACGGGGCGCCGCAGGCCAATCAGATCTGGAGAACCCCTGTGGCGCATGCCTTATGCGGAGTTTCGGGGCGGGCCCTGGGTTCATTCACAACATTCCTCCCCCGCCCCCCTCGGGCTGGACAGTGCGCCCGGGGCAGCTGGGGCTGCGCCCACACACGGCTTTGTTTACTGAGGGTCGCTTCCGGGCGCTGCATGGGGACAATCAACATAAGCCAGCCAGGAGCTAGACGGAGCGGTGGGATCCTGGGCAACAGCTCAGCCTCTCTTCTCTCCGGGCTGTGTGACCCCCAGGAAAATCACTCAACCTCTCTGGGCTCCGGGTCGTTTTGATGCTTCGGGAGGAGGGCTGTGGGTCGCAGCCTTCCTTGTAGAGTTTATGTGGGCTGCAGACCCTTTCTCCTGAAACCGGGCTCACTTAGGAGGTCTGTAGACCATTCCTTGAGCTTCAAGCTAGGATACTCCCCAATCCTTTCTACTTCCTAAACAATATGTTGAATCATATGAAATTCCTCATTTTCGACCTGTAAAAGTGGGAATTTCATTCCATGTAATACATGTCAAATCCCACCACTTCCCATCACTTTCCAACTCAGCTTGTTCAGGCCACCACCTCTGGCCTGGAAACCGGCCTTATCTTCCATGGGTCGTTCCCATCCCCAGCCCATGATCTCAGAGAACCTTCCTCACTCTTCTCTCCACTATCGTGGATCCATCATCTATTCCTGAGGCTAATTTCTGTCCCACTCCTGACTGTGAGCCCCAGGAGGCTGGAGTTCCTCTCTGCAGCACCTGGAACGCATACAGTAGGTACTCAGCCTACAGCTCCTCCAAGGAACCAGCTTGTCCTTCACCCCCATTTAGTTGAAATGCTTGCCGCGCAGGAGGACCTCAAGCCGCCCCTCAGAGGCCTGACTCTCCCCTCCATATGGACACTTCCCTCTGACCAGCCAGGGGTGGCCGTGGCCACCAGAGGTCTCGAAACTTTAAGGTGGGGCTAGTGCAAAGTGCTCAGTGGTGGAGCACTTGCCCTGGGTTCCATCCCCAGTCCTGAAAGGGTACACACACACACACACACACACACACACACACATTTTAATTAAAATACTGGTTAAATGTTGAGATGGTGGCTAAACATAATACATTGGTAAATCTAGCCCCCTGTTGAGTTTCACGTGGTGTCAGGACATTCAACCTGGCTGCGATGTTTCTACTGGACTTTGCTGTCGGGAGAAACCAGGGCCGTGTGGGTCACCACAGAGGCGGCCACTCGTGTGGTGCTGTCCCTGTTGAGATGGGTGATGGAGTTTGGGCTTCCAACGGCACTGGCCAGTGGGGAGCGTCACCATCTCCCAGATGAGGAAACTGAGGCTTGGCGGGCCTGAGGTCACCCAGCAGGAAGGGCGAGCCACGTGGAAGCCAGGTGGGGCTGTGTGGAGTCGGAGGTTGCAGGGGCCGGGGTGCGGGTGTGCGGGTGTGTGCGGGTGTGCTGGGATGGAACCCAGGGCCTGGCACGGGTGAGTCCCACCCCCACCGGGGGCGAATCTTTCTTAGGAAGGATTTGGGGCCATGTGGGAGGAAGTAAGGGGTGGGAGGCAGGGGACCTGGCAGATCCCCTCGATCTAGGCCTGGCTTTCCAGCACCCACCAGCCATGTGACAGCCAGCCCGTCCTTGCCCTCCAGGGGGCATAGTGGTGTCCTGAGGGCACCCTAGGCCAGCGGGTTGGTCCTAAGAGAACAGAGAATGGGTGTCATGGGCTGAGGGTGCTCTGTCCTCTAATGGGGTGAATATTGACGGCACCCCGTCTCACATGCCAGAAGTCTGGGACACAGAAAGACACACTACTCTGAATCGCAGTCTGTGTCCACATCTGCAGCACAGCCCGGTGGGGGCCAGCCCATCTCAAAGGCTCACTGCCACCCTGTGCCGGACAGGGAAGGTGGGCAGGGAGCTGACAGAATGACTTGCCCTGGGCCCACAGCAGGAGAAGGAAGCGCCTGAGCAGAGTTTGGGAAACAGGAACACTGGGCTCTCATCCATTGATTCTATGGGTGAGGGAAAAGATGCTCAGAGAGGGCTGGGAAACTGCCCAAGGCCACACAGTAATCCTGGGAGAATGTGGGACGTCCAAAAGGCCCCTGGGAGGTAGGGAGTCCGCAGGATGAAGTCTCTAGGCTTATTTCAAGTTGGCCTCCTTCCAGGCAGAACTTCAGGGGAGGAGAAGTGGGGGACTGGTGAGGCGTGGGTCCCAGTCACTCGCGCCCTCCGTCTCGGGGCAGCCCGCGAGCTCTGGCTTCGGGAAATGGAAGCCACATTCATCCCTGCCGCAGCGTGAGCTCACTGTCTAGGCATGTGCAGCTCCTGACCCCAAACCCACGCGTCCTCTCTCGACCTGACCCACGGAATGGAAATGGGGCTTCCCGGAGGCTCGGACGAGGGAGGGGACCCTGACCTCTGGCTCAGGACACCCCACCCCACTTCTCTGAGAGTCCAGGCCCCTGCACCCGAACCCCTGCTGACGCAGCAGGAAACCAGCCCAGTCAGTCACTTGCTTCCTGGTGGAGATGGCCGGCTGGCAAGCAAGAGCTGCCTGCGTCTCTTTCCTTCCTCTCCAAACACCAGTTCACGTGCGAGAATCAGGGCCTGGCCAGGAAATGGGCATTCCAGGCCCGGGGGAGGTGCAGGAAGAGGCTTGAGTGAGAAAAATTGGATCTGAAAACTCACATTTAATGACACCCCTGGCCCAGGGGGGTGGCCAAACTTGAGTTTCCTCGTCCCCATCCTCCAGCACCCAAGGGCTGTACCCAGTTACATCAGCAAGTCCCAAGTCCTTCAGGCTCCTGAATCCACACAAGGGCAGGGTGTTGGGCTCTCCATTTAACAGATGGGACAACTGAGGCTCAGAGAGTTAGACACTTGCTAAAGGTCACACAGCTAGGTGGCGAAAATATGGTGTAGAACTTGAGGTGTGGGGTTTTGGAGTCTGGGGTCCGGTGCTAAAGGGGGGCTTGTGGGCAGGTGGAAGTCCTGGTGGGGGGAGGTCCAGGGGAAGGATGGGAAAATGAGGCTGGGGCCAGGGGGGCAGGCGAAGGGGGACAAACAGGTGGGTCCACATTCCAGACTCCCTACCTGTAGCTCCCGAAAGCTCTTTTGCCCCCGAGGTCCTTCCTCCTCCAAGGGGCTGGCGGAGGAGACACAAAAGGAGCCAATTTTCAGGGCTCTCTGGCCCGCCCGCGCGCCCGCCTGTGGGCGGCCCTGGCCCCCGGCCTAGGCGCCTCCTGGTGGCCGAGGCAGGTGCCAGATGGCACCAGGGCCCAGCCTGTCGTGGCTCTTTCCTCTTCAGACAGGAAGGTGGAAAGATAGTTTTCAAAAGACGGTGGCTCTCAAAGGCATGGAAAGATGCGAACGTGTTAAATTTTAATTTAACTCCTGCGGAGCCGGCAGATGCCCCAGCGCATCAAAGGGCCGGAGCCGGAGGCGCAGGCGTTCGCGGGTCCAGGGTGTGAAGCGCAGGCGCCCAGGCCACCGGCTCCCCGTGGGTCGGAGGTGGCCCTGCAGCGTCCCAGGCCCCGAAGCCTGGAGCCCAGTGGGTTAGAAGGACGACGCGTGGCTCCGCGGCTCCAGCCGGGAGTCCTGGAGGGGTTCAGACGGCCAGTGGCGCGGTACCCGCGACGGCTGTGCAGAGCCGCGCAGGACCGGCTCCTGGAAGCCGGGCTGTCCTCGCAGAAAGGAGGGCCGCGCCCGCCCCAGCACACCTGTGCCCGGGGCTCCGGGCACCGCAGCCAACAGCCACCACCAAGACCGCATGGGCCTGAGACAGGGGACCTGCGTGCTCTGTGTGCGGCCCCGGGTGCCACCCCAGCACACGCAGCAAAAACAGACCGAAGCAGAAACTCAGAAAGGTCCCTACCAGGGCAGGGGACAGGGCAGGCTGCTCCAGGGGACATCTGGGGAGGGCAGTGAGGGGCTGAAATTCCAGATGCAAAGGCCGGGGGCCAAGGCAGGGAGGAGGGTGGTCTCCAGGGGACACAGGCTGGGGTGGGGCTTGTGTCCTGTTCTCACTAGAGTCAGTTCTGAGCTCTGCCCAGGGCAGAGACGGGCACAGAACGAATGCTGAGTGGTCCAAGAGCCGCCAAGGGCAGATGTCACTCGCTGCTGAGCTGGGCACAGGTGAGGGCCCTGGTCCCCTCGGGAGGCTCAGCAGCCCACCCCAGCCCCCCCGGCTCTCCTTCAGCCGCCTCCTGCCACAGAAGCAGAAGGTGGGAGATGGGAAACTCCAACTGGGGCCTCCCGTCTGAGTGGGCGCTGCTGCCACAACTTCATTTCTTTCTTCTTTTCTTTTTACATTTTTTTTAGCTGTAGCTGGACGTGATTCCTTTATTTTATTTATTTGCATAAGGTGCTGAGGACTGAACCCCATGCCCCACGCGTGCCAGGTGGGCGCTCTTCTGCTGAGCTCCAGCCCCAGCCGCAACTTCACTTCTTGAAGAAGAGGTGGAGTCGGGCTGGGGCTGGGGCATGGCCCAGGCTGGGCAGAGCCTTCCTCGCACATGGGAGGCGCTGGGT